TATGGGTCGCTAGCGATGCAAGGACCGCTTGTGCCACGCGATGGGCAGCCTGTTAGTTCTACGAGGAGCAAAAACAAAAGAAATAAAAGCAAAAGAAGTCTTCAACTTCCGCACTTCCTCAAGCACCGCTCCTCCGCGATCATGATTAACATCATTCTCCAATGCACGTCGGATGACCAATTGGGAATCACCACAGAAACAGACAGCAGAATAACCACGATTAAGGCTCCATAACATTGCGTCGCGCAAAGCTAACAATTCCAACAAGAATGGGTCCGAAATGCCTTCGTAGAACTTACCGTATGCGCAAACCAAGGAGTTGTTGCTAGCAAATCCAACAAAGCCAATGATCTACCTCGCTCGAGTAGATTGATCCCTTGGCGCAGCGGTCGCCTCTCGCCATTCCTCAACCTGTCGATTGAATTGCCGAAAGAGGGGACCTAGTAGATATTGGATTTTGTCATAGACTGAGCAACATCGACCTTTCCATATACGCCAGGTGAGGAGCACTACTTCTGCAATTTCCATCTTCGAGAGCTGCAAAGAGAAGAAAAGATCATGCCAGGCAAAGTCATTGGTTACACTAGCCATAGCTAGCCGAATCTGCTCTTTCCCAGCAAGAATCCAAATAGCTCGTGCGATCCTGCACTCAAAAAAACAGTGAGAAATGGTTTCTGCACTAACTGAACAGATCAAACAACCATCAGAATCACAGAGGTGCTTCTCTTTAAGAATAGATTGCATTGGGAGGAAGCCTCTTACAACCCGCCAAAGGAAGAACTTGAGTTTCGGAGGGATTGGAAGGCTCCATAATGTCTTCCAGAACTTTGTATTGAGGTGTGGAGGAAGCTGATCAAACTGAAGCTGGCTGCTTGCAGCTGGTAGCCCGTTTTGACAGTGTATTGGCCATAATTAGAGTAATGTCAAATGAGCTTGTCCGATTGGGGTGCCGATGGAAGAGGTATAGAGAGGATCCATGACACACTCTCAGGAGTAAAAGATGCACGAATCAAGTCTCCATTCCAAGTTCTAGTAATTGGATGAATAAGGGCAGCAACAAAAGGATTGGGGAGAGAGATACCGGGCAGCAGGGATGGAGAAGAAGGAGGGGCCGAAGGCAACCAGAGGTCCTCGAGAGTGCGGATTGCTGATCCGCATCCTACTTGCCATCTCAATCCCTGCTTTAGCAGATTACGCCCTTCAAGAACACCTTGCCAGGCCCAAGATGGGCGGGAGCCTGTTGGTGCAGAGAGGAAGTCGCAATGCGGGTGATAACGAGCCTTGTACAGTCTTGCGAGGAGATAATCCGGACACATAAATAACTTTCAAGCTTGTTTCCCAAGCATCGCCACATTGAAGAGGTCGAAGTCCCTAAAACCGAGGCCTCCATGGAATTTGCTGACACAGATTGCCGGCCAGAAAATCCAGTGCATTCCCCTCTCCTTATCTTGCCCAGCCCACCAGAATGGCAGAATCTAGCCAGCTGGCTATTTAGTCTGCGACAGAACGATGAAGGAAGTCGGAATGAGAACATAGTATAGACCGGCATTGCTGAACCAACAGCCTTGAGTAAAACTTCTTTTCCAACTAATGAGAGGGATTTGGGCCGCCAACTTTGTATGCGGGCAGCAAGGTTATCTTCAACATACTGGAAGGTCTGCACTTTAGAACGCTGAATTTGAGCCGGAAGCCCAAGATATTTGTCAAGGGGTCCAATGGAGGAGATAACCAAGAAGATTAGCCAATATAGTCTTCTCCTAGTCACTAACATCAGAGCTGAAACAGACTGAGGATTTCTGTAAGTTTATGCACTGCCCACTAGCCTTCTCAAAGGGACGCAACAACTGGATCAGATTATCACACTCAGATGTGGTTGCACGCAAGAAGAGATAGGTATCGTCGGCGAAGAATAAATGGGAGATAGTTGGTGCAAGCCTATGGACCTTCAAGCCATGTAACTGCTGCAACTCAAGCGCATTATGAAGCAGAGTTGAGAAAGCTTCTGTGTAAATAGCGAAAAAGAGAGGTGAAAGTAGATCACCTTGTCGAATACCCCGTTGAGGTCTGAAGTACCCATGCTCATTACCATTGAGAAGAACAGTGAAAGTGACTGTAGAGACATACGATTTTATCCATTTCATCCACTGAGGACCGAAACCTAGTGCTTCCATTACTGCAAAGAGAAATCCCCATTCGACCCGGTCGTATGCTTTTTTCATGTCCAATTTGAGAGCCATCCACTTGTCCCTTCCATTATTCTTCGTCTTTAGGAATTGCATTACTTCCTGAGCAATAAGAATGTTGTTGGAGATATCTCTCCCCTTGATAAAGCCATTCTGAGAGTCGGAAATCACGGAAGGAAGGATAACACTCAGCCTAGTAGCGAGGATCTTGGAAATGATCTTGTAGAAAATCTGGCACAGGCTGATCAAGACGAAAGCAAGTTAATAAGTTCATTAAACTGATCTTGACGGGTATTTACATCACGACTGAGATGAACAAAGAGGACTGCTAACAAACCCCAAACCACATGTTGAAGTTCAACGAACAAGAAGAACTCAGCCTGACCTAGAACCCAACACCGAACATTATATGAGCATGCTACCACTAAGTCGCCTGCTGTACCAACAGGGGAGAGACAATGGACAAACTGGAACCCCAGGCGCAAGAGCTTCTTATTTACATAGTCATTGTCATGCTTAGTTTCACTAAGGAAGATAATAGAAAGGGAAAACCTACATACAGCTCCAAACATAGAGGGAATCGTCAAGGGTGAGCCAAGTCCCCGACAATTCCAAGAAATTATACTCATGACGCCGGGTGGGACCAGTTCGGGCTGGTTGCCTCCACCACATCACAATCCTCATTGATGTTCGAAATATCCATCTGCTCGAAGCGAGCTTTCTTTGGTGTGCCAGAGTTTGCGGACTCGGTCAATAACTCCCTATGTCTGATCAACGGAGTTGCAGGAGGTTTCTCCAGACCCCTTTCCATGGTAAGTTCTGTGGCGAGATCGGATGTGTCCCCAGCAAGCAGGAGAGGCCTGGTCTTCCCAGTAGCAGCAGAATCCGACCGCCCCTGATTCGCCGTGAGCAGCAACGGTCGTTGAGCAGACGGTTTCCTTTGTGTTGTCGCCTCAGAAGCTTCCTGGCGTACCCAAGTATACTGATTCCGGGTAAGCAGTGAGCGTTCATTCACCTTCGGGCCGGACTTCGTCGCAACCAGGTGCTTGCCATAAGGTGTCACGGAGCCTGCAAGGTCCTCGCGTCGGGGGCAGTGTTGCCCAATATGGCCTAGGATACCACAAAGGTAGTAGAACTGGGGAAGGCGTTTGTAGGTGACAGCCGCCATGAACGACCCTATGCCTCCCTTATCGTGAGAGGCAGGAATCGAGACCGGCAGAGGAAGCCGACCATCAAGCCAAACCCTCACTCGGAGGTAGAGTTCTCCTGAGCCCGGGATGCGATGCACCGCAGCCGAATCGCTCTTCCCCAAAGCCAAGCCCAGCAGTGAAGCCATTTTCCGGGTGCAGCACTGGGGAGGGATGTCCCAGAATTCCAGTTCGAAAGGATTCGCCATAGCTGGTCTGCAACCGTCGGAGTAACCTCCACCCATGGGGCCATGTTAACCAGAAATTTGGGTAGGAACCAAGGCGATTGCTTGAGCACTGCATCCATATCGGTCTTCGTCGGAAAGACAAACTGAAATAGCCCTCCCGCAGCCGGAAGGACAGAGATGGCACCGCGACACCCCCATAACCGTCCCATCGTTGTTTGGAGATGACGAATCGGAGGAGTAGGGCAACCACCCTACCTAGCAGAGATAACTCATTGCGTTCAGCGCCAGCAACAACATTAGCATCCCCAAAAATCACTGCGTTCACGCCAGCCATGCTGCCAGGTTGTGGATAGGGTAACAAAGAACTTCCCCGATTTCGAAAGCAATTGAGCAAGAATACTCGAATTAGCGATTGAGAACGCTTCGCCCACCAAGGTGGCTTTATAACCCCCGTCGTTCCACGGCCCGTTGCCGACGGGACATGATGATGGAATGGCCGGTTACGTCGAGGCGCACGTCGGTGATGTTTTCTCTCCCACTCTCCAAGATGGAGAGAAAGGAGGTTTTAAAAAAAAATGTGAATCGCACCTGTGCTGCTATATATTTTTTAACTTTCTAAAATTTAATTTGTTGAAAGAGGCAATTAATATTTTTTTTCATACCCAGTTTGTCCTTAGTAACCATGGTGATTACTAGTTTATAGTAATCCAATATCATTTGAAGAGCATAAATAAAACCCGCACACCCCATTGACTGCCAAAAATGTCGATTTTCACCATTACATTCAATTGAAGATGTTCAGTACCACAAAGGACTAGGCGTCAATGGCTACCTAGTTTTCCATTCCATCCGGAACCATGCAACAAAATTACCTATCAGAAGTCAGAAACAATCACACCAAGCCATCCAAATTGCAAAGGATGCTTGACACTGAACGAGTGCAATAATAAGGTTGCAAACGGCAAACAGAATCGGCGGGTAAACTGTGGATCGGATCAAATCGGGGAGAAAGTAAGATGCAAACGGGAGTTGGGGAAAGAAGAAAGAGAATGAAAGAGGTGAAGAAAAAATGAGATGTGCTTACAACTCTATTGTTTTCACCTTTTTGGGAAGCACCAATTAGGCCTTAATTCTATGTTTTTAAAAAGAAGATATTAGGCCCTAATTCTATCAAAGGCTAAACGACAACTAAGGCAAACTTGTCAACCAAATGAGAGCAACAATCCATTTACTTTTCTATTAACAACAGCTTGCCTCTCAGCTTCTTCTACATTTGTACATCAACTCCCCCAAAGTATTTACACTACTTTCATATGGGCCAACCGCTGGCAAGAAACGTGGATAAAAGAATTTCACAAGAAACGCCCAGGCAAGACAGGGAGTCAGTAGAGTAACTTGTTTTCGATGCTCTCCAATCCATTGCATCAAAAGTCAAAACCATGTCAATAGCATCTTCTATGTTCTCTTACCTCCACAACTGCTTTCTTCTGCTCAGCAACCGACTTGTTCAGCATCTCTTTCTCCGCAACAACCCTCGAAATCTCTTTCTCTATCAGTCCCTTCGCATTTGCCTCTGCTTTCTTATACACATCTGCCAACACGTTATGCAAGTTATCATGATCTTCTCTCGCTGCTGCTAGCTTGGTTGTCACCGATTTGAACTCTTCCGTCCTTTTCTTCATCAGTTGTCCCCTTGCTGATGTCAGCTCATGAGCCAATATCTCACAGCTTTCCTTCAATGTCTCGATACTCTTCTGAAACGATTCTGCAGCTGCGGCATACTCACCATCTTCGAGCTTTGTGCAGCTAGCTCTAGAGTGCCTTAATAGGGTTTCCAGACCCGAAGCTTCATTTCTCGACTTAGCAATAGCTTCCTGGGTTGTGAAGAGCTGGTGCTTCAAATTCTTTGTCCTGCTCGATTCAGCTTCCAGCAACCTCTTCAGTTCTTCCCTTTCGTGGTTCAAATCTGCAATCTTTTTCTCTTCTCCATTCGCCTCATTGATGGAAAGAGCAAGGCTCAAAGTTAAACGCTTAATCTCTTCTTCTCTCTCTCCCAGCAGCTTAGCATCCAAAGCAGCTTTATTTGCAGTGAATGACTTGAGATCATGGTACTCCTCCTGGATACCAACCAGCTTCTTCTTAGATTCATCACTCTCCAAAGTCTCAGAACTTACTTCCAACTCCAACATATCCAATAAACCATACTTCAGCTCCAGCTGCTGCTTAGTCTCCAAGAGTTCATATTTCAGCCCACTGACTTCTGTGTGTGCTCTTGAAAAGTCCTTCTCCACTTGCTTATAGGCATTTGTCAAATTCTTGAAGCTGGATTCCCTCTCTTTCAGTGAGGAGGTAAGGTTTGGAGCCATCTCTTCCTTTAGTTTGAGCTCTAAATTGGGTTGCCCGATTTTCTCAAGTAAACCTTCAGCAGAACTGAGCTTTCCCTTCGGTTCTTGTTCAAGAGCATTCTTCTGATGTCCAGCCTTTGATAAACTGTCCTCTAGACCCTGGATTTGATGCTTTTTGAGCTCCTCTATGGCCTTTCTCTCCTTTGTCAGCTCATTCCCTAAACATTGAATTCTACTGTTGGCTGATGTTAATTGATTTGTCAAAACCTGCTGCTCTTCTGTTGCCTTGTTGTGCTGGTTCTTCCGTTCTTCCCTTTCATTCAGTGGCTGTAGTTCATGGTTGTGTTCTGTTGTCTCAAGCTCGTTTTCCTCTGAAATGAGACAGAAATCATTAGAATCTTGGTGAACTAAAAAAACTCAAGAGTTCAACAGCAGCCATTAAAGACGCAGCATCTTTTTGAACTCAAGTTATCCATGGAAATCTTCAAACGAGTAAATGCTTGACGAAGAATCTGTTTTCATGGGGGTGAAATCCCCAATCAAGAATACATTATCCAGGAACCCTAAATTTATTCGTTGGAGCAGTGGGCCATCATGATTTCTTCAAACCAAGTAATACTAAGTCTACCGATTCACCAAAGAACAATTGCAACAGAAGGCACTACTAACTTGAGTTGGATTCAGGCGAATAGTTACAAACATCACTACACAACAGAGAAATCTAACTATGTATCTCCGTTCAGGAGGACTACCGCAAGAAACGAATCCCTAAATCCACAAGAAAGAAGCATCGACGATCTAACTTGAGGAATCGGAAAACAATTGTATCCCACCGAATCAGAAATCAAGAAATGGACTCACCCTGTATTATGACGGGACCTTCGAGAAAAGAGGGAACCGCTAGCAGAAGCTCTCTCCGATCGTCTTTTGGGTCCTCCAGTAGAATCAAGTGAGACAAACGCTGGGTTTCTTTTTCTTTTTCTGTTGGTGATGACGAAAAGAGAAAGCAAAATCGACGAGGTTCCAGGATATAAGCGACCTTCGCCGCCGCCGCCGCGAACCTCATTGCGGCAGCATCTGAATGGAGATGATGTGGGCTGTTAGATACAAACCATAACGAGAAAATTAACTCGGGAGTGGTAATCTTGCTCAAGAATCCGGAATTACCAGCAGTTTCATCGTGAATGGCGGCGGCCGCGGCGGCCATGGTGACCGCGGCGGCCATGGTGACCGCGGCGGCCATGGTGACCGCGGCGGGTGTCACTGCGGCGAGTATGAACTGGTTGATCGGGACGGTGGGGCTCGGCAAGATGAATTTCGAAATCGCATGGTGTTGAAAAACTCTTCCCGCATCGTAGGCACAACTGAGGATTACTTTTCTCATGCTTGTCCTCATAGTGTCTCTCGATGTCACCAAAAGTGTTGAACGATTTGGGGCACTGATTGCAAGGGAATGGGTTTTGAGCGGCCGCCATTCCATTCATGGAGGTTAAGAGTGAGTTGCAGAGAAACGATTTGGACTGTATGGTGAGTTGCAGGGAAACGATTTCGTGTGAGTTGCAGGGAAGAAGATGGGAGATTGTAACTGGGAAAGGGGTTCTCATTAGAATTTTTGCGAGCTTATACATTGGAGAGGAGAGAGAAATGGCGGGAAAGGTTGTTACACGAGCGCAAGTTGCGCTGCTTCCCTAAGCTGCTGCAACGAACCATTTGGGCATCGCTAGTCAAGTCAAGTCAAGTCAAAGTCAAAGTCAAGACGGGCGGAATTCGGTGAAGTGAAACACAGTAAGCCGGGTGCACATCAAGGAACACCGAGCCATTCCTATGCCGCCAGCTGTCATATAATTATGAGGAATTAACAATAAAAATGAAAAATTTCCTTTTTTTTGCAGCGGTGCGGCCTTGCTTTCCCGTTAAGCTCTCGCTATTTTAATGAATGTTTTATTTTTCATTTAGAGATAAAGCTCGTTCCCTTTCCATAGGAGTATAGGTGTCAAAACATAGCCCGACCCGATTAACCCGTCCGATCAATTCGACCCGCAACCCGACCGCAACTCGAATTGACTAAAAGTCAACAACCCGTAACCGGCCCGACCCGCAACCCGATTGACCTGCAACCCAACTAATCGGCAACCCGATTGACCCGCAACCCGATTAACCCGAACCCGATTGACCCGCAACCCGACTGACCCGCAACGCAATTAACCCAAACCCGATTGAACCGAACCTGACTAACCCGTAACCCGACCGACTCAACCCGAATTTCATCTAATCCACTTGAATAATTATAAAAATATACAATACATAGTTTTTCAAAATAAAGTTTTTCATTCTAAACTTAAGTAAAATTATTTTTTCATTTCGTATAGGAAATTTAAAAAATATGAAACTCACTTGATTTTACGTATTTTAAGAAAATTATAAAAATTGAAACATGAAGGTCACTTAGATCATGATAATATTAATATAATATATAAATTAAAGTTTTGGTTAATTTAACTATTCAATAAAATTATCAATTAAATATAAATAAAGTAAAGTAATGTATTTGGTAATTTGATGTTTTTAAATGAAGAGTGAAATTTTGGTGTATTCAAGTTTTTGGGAAGATAAAGAAGAGGAAAATTTGGTTCTTTGAATTTTTTTAGAAAAGCAACAAGTGGGAATTTTGGTGGTTTTGATATGTGGGAACTGGGAAGAGAAAGAAGTGGGAAAGTTTGATTCTTTTGATTATGAAAGAGAAATAAGAGGGAAACTTTTGAGTTTTCAACTTTTGTAGAAGGAAAGAAGAGGGTAATTTGGTTCTTTCAATTTTATGGAAGAGAAAGAGGAGGAAAAATTGAGTTTTCTAATGTATGGAAGTAGAAAGAAGGAGGGAAATTTTAGCATTTTTGTGAAAAGAAAGAAGGAAACAAATTTGGTGTTTTCTATTTTTTGGTTTTTCATAATTTTAGCTTTTGAAATATGAATCTTTAACTTTTATATGGAGGGCATGACTAGTTAAAATTATTCTTATATGCTTTGAAGGCTAATATATATATGTATGTAATTGTTTATGGGCTAATAAATAAATTAAGGGTTAAAGACACATTTGGTCACTGAGATTACAAAATCGGGACATGTTTAGTCACTAGAAAAAGTTAATATCAAATGTGGTCACTACAATTACTAAAACTGGACGCATTTAGTCACTCGCCGTTAATCTCCGTCCAACTCCGTTAATGAAGTCCGTTAAGTGCTGATGTGGCAAATAAAATTGCCTAATCAGCCGGATATAACCCAACAAAAATAAAACCCGACCCGCCACGTCATTATAACCCACCACCTCATTAAAACCAACCCAACCCAACTCATGACCCAACCCTACCCAACCCTTCTTCCTCCTTCCTCCCCAACCCAATTTAGGGTTTTCCCCATCCCATCCAAATTCGCTGAGCGGGGAGAAGATCTCTCCGCCATTAATCTGCCGCCCTTCCTTCATCTTCTTCCTCTGTCATTCCCAATTCCAAAATTTCGAAACAGCTTACCTCATCGGCAACGACGGGACCAGGGGCGTTAGCTTCGGCGCTAGTTCCGGGAGCCCCGACCGGAGGAGCGGGAGGGCTCGACAATGAAGGAGAGGGAGCCGGAGATCCGCTCTTCTTCTTCGACTTCGTGCTGGGAGCCGGCGCCGGAACATCAGCAAGGGAAGGAGTTATAATGGGTTGGATTGGGTTGGTTTTAATGAGGTGGCGGGTTATAATGACGTGGCGGGTCGGGTTTTATTTTTGTTGGGTTATATCTGGTTGATTAGGCAATTCTGTTTGCCACATCAGCACTTAACGGACTTCATTAACGGAGTTGGACGGAGACTAACGGCGAGTGACTAAATGCGTCCAATTTTAGTAATTGTAGTGACCAAATTTGATATTAACTTTTTCTAGTGACTAAACATGTCCCGATTTTGTAATCTCAGTGACCAAATGTGTCTTTAACCCAATAAATTAACCATTAGTTACAACAATTTATACTAAACTTGATAAGTAATCTTTGACGGTTCGTTGTTTAGGGTATAAAGTATATGGTTAGGGTATAAGGTATAAGGTACATATGGTTTAGGGTATAAGATATTGGTGGTTTTGACGGTTCTAAGTTTTTTATTAACATATGTTCACTTGAAGTCATTTGAAGTCTTTAACGGCAGGAGATCCCTTTTTAATTTATGTTTATGGTACGTGGTTAGGGTACAAGGTATGTGGTGTAAAGTATAGGATATATGGTTAGGGTATAACAATTAGCAAATATAACTTTTTATCTATGTTTTGAAAATCAAAGTATGAATTTCACTTTTAAATTAACTATACTAGCAAAATCACAACTCAAAGACATATGGTTAGGGTATAGGGTATAGGTTATGTTGTTAGTGTATAATGTATTGATGGTTTAGGGTATACAATCAACAACATATACTAACTTAATATTGTTGATTGAGGGTAAGGCTAAGTGTATAGGATATATGCTATTGAGTAAGTTATGATTGAAGTCACAATAATTTTACTACATTTGATAGCTAATCTTTAATGGTTCAACTTTTAGGATAATTCGAACAATTTTACAAATAACTCGTTTGGCAACAGTTTATTAAAGTTATTTGGGCAATGAGTTATTTCGAAATAACTCCTTTTATCACTATGCTTTTGCCAAATATCACACGCCAAATACCAGATTTGCATGGTTATACTAGACGAGATACTTTAATCCAATTACTACTGAATTAATACTAAAATATCAAATAAACAATTAATGTTGTCTTTTGGTTGCAAATATTGATATCACCATTACTATTAGCTATAATACTTTACCAATTATGATTAATTACATAACAAGTTTGCAAGTCATACAAATTGATTTAACATTTTGACTAGTTTTTTTTCAAAAAAATAAAGTATATATATACGAGGTAGAAATAAATTGGTTAAAAAGTTGAGAAAATATTTTAAATTAGTGTAATAATATGTGTAATTTGGTACTGAGTTAAGTTACTTGATGCGCTGGCCCGAACAACCCGAAACCCGATCCGCCCGACCCAAAACCCGATGAACCCGGAACCCGATTTGCCCGCAACCCGATTGAACCCGAACCCGATGAACCCGCAACCCGACTAACCCGCAACCCGTTTGAACCCGAACCCGATGAACCCGAAACCCGACTAACCCGCAACCCGTTTGAACCCAAACCCGATTGAACCCAACCCGAACCCGCCCGATTGACACCTATACATAGGAGTGCGGATCTAGGGCATGCTATTTGGTCCGAGTTTTTTGGTTTTATCCGAAACCGGATCATATAACTCGGATCGGGACCGGATAGCAAACAATTCAATCCAAATCCCCACAAGTTAA